ATAGATTTTACTGTTAAGTGTATCTTATAGCAGATGACTATAGCATAAAACAATATTAATGTCTCAAATTGCAAATAATTTTTTGTTTATAATTCAGTAATGGTGGACAGCATTCTTGTCAACCTCATTAGCTATCGTAGGAGTCCGTGAGGTGTGCCTCTTGGTACCCAGTGAAATGGAGAGAGACACAGGATGATGGATGCATAAATCTGTTTGTTGTTTCCATTTTGTGCTCACATGGTATTTGTTTAACTCAGGTTATAATATATTTGTGTATAGAAGCTGAAGGATGTTGAATATGTTGATTCCTTGAAACTTCATTTGTACGGACAAAGTGTGCTGCTTTTTAATGCTAATAATCTACAAGCAAGTCTGTATTGTAATTTGGTTTCTGCAAACTTTTGAACCATCTTACGGAACTACAAATGCTTTGGTGCATCTCATGGTTAGTGTAACCGAATACCTTCTAGTCATCGTCACTCTCACTGAGTTGGTCTGGATGTGAACTTGAAAAATATGACGGATAGGTGGAAATCTCAGTGTGTAGGCTCCCTTCTCCTTTGGAGGGAAGGCTCAGTACATTCTCTTCTTAGTACATTGGTTTATTACATGAAAACAGTTATCTATGACATTGACAGCTGTCAGATATTTTACTGTGGACAGATTTTAATTTCTCTGAGGTCTCTGTAGCATAAGGCTTAAATATGGCAGCTGACCATTTAGAGCTTTGCTTGTTCTGCTCTGCAGGATCCCAGGGGATGTTAGTCACAGGGGTGGGTCTTACTTGAGCTTGAGATGACATGGCAGGGAGGCAGAAAACTCAGAATAGAACAGGTCTTACCCCGTCCTCATCTTCAGCTTCCTTATGTCAGTGGTTCAAGGGGTGTGTGTGTGTACATTTAATATAGCCATAATTACAGGGAATATAACATCTTATTGATTCATAGACTTTTGTGGATGTGTGCATGCGGTTTCTACTAACTGCTAGTTGTTCAGATGAAAGTAATTTGATAAAACATTTTGGCCTGTAATCAGTATCATTTACACTAGTAATGGTACCCACTAACTAAATGTAGTTAGTTCAGCCTACTATGTGGAAACAGAGTTGGTCCAATCTCTTGCTTTGGTCATTCCCTGATTTATTTTGAATTTTTCTCATATTCCTACATCACCTTGTTGATTATGAGGGGAATTGATCTAAGTACAGTAGTTATGTTTATGCAATGCAATATTCTCCTTCTGTGTCAGTGACAACTAGGAAAAAAATGTGGAATTTATTTTATCTAATTTTAGCAGCCTGCAAGGTGGCTGGTAGGTAGGCTGCCCCTTCAGCCAGCAGAGAGACGGGCACAGTCAGAGGGTGCCGTGTCCTGTTCGCAGTGCCTGTCTCTTGGCCACAGCCAGGATCTGGCCACCTGATCTGAGCTGTCTAAGGTGAGATGATCAGTCCCATTCACTGGGAACAATTGTGTTTAACAGTATAGCTGCACCGATCCAAAAAACCTGTAGTAAAGAGACTGCATCGATGGAAGAACGTAAAATAATAAGTGCAACTTGACTGTAATTTAGAAAACCAGCTGCCTGCTGGTATATCATTTAATTTTCAGTGCAGTTTAGTGGCAGGGTTTTTTTTAATCTAAAGACTCATCTGTATTTTTAATACATTTAAAATAATGCAATAACCACGTTGCATGCCACTTCTCCTAACTTCACTTCCATTTCCCCAAAGTGTTCAGGTGTCATTATTGCAAGGCAGGAGGCAGAGCATCTCGGCTGCTGGCACTGTCAGGCTTTGGCAGACAGCTTGTGTCATCTGGGTAAAAAGAAGACTGAGGGAATTTAATATTGTAGCATCCATAAAAAATGGGAGTACTTTATTAAGCGAGACTGTGTAAAGCTTTCTTCTGGATGGAATTTACACTAATGCATTTTATTGTTCCATCTAAGCAGATCAAATGATAAGCATAGTGTCACATACACATTTGTGACTGTTCTGTTAAATAGGTTTTGATACTTAATGTTTTTATTCTCATGCATTTCAAAGCAGCAATTATTTCCAAGAATAAAGATAATTAAATTTGTCTTGATGCTCTCAGGATTAAAGGGGGGAAAGCTGTATTTTAAGGTGTATCACAATAGATGAGGAGTTCTGCTCTGATGCGCCATTCGAAGTCTGGCAGTGCAACAGCCAGTCCCGTACCACTTTTGCGTGTAGTGTCAATTAGCCTGGGAAGAGTTTTAGCAGCGGTAAAAAGTGTTGCCTGTTGATGACATTTCAGAGGCATGCTCAAAAATGATGCCAAGAACGAGTCTGGTGGCTGGTTTGGCATCGGAGGTAAGTGAGGAGGGGGAGAAAGCTGTAATCCATCTCAGCTGTGTGTGCGCAGGGTTTTTCTCCTGGCTCTGGCTCTCACACGCACGCTCGCTCGTGGGGACATGTGACTTTTGGCCATATTAGCAGGTTTATCCAAGCCTAGCCCTTTTTTTTTAGGGAAAAGGGCATTCTGGGATTGCAGCAGTTGCTTTTGGACAACAATGTCCTTTTTGTAAGAATCTGATGCTTCTTAAAAGATGGAACATGACATCATTACCGTCGATCCAAGAAACATTCCTTCAAAATACTGAGTGTGCTCTGGTTATCAGCTCCCTTCCCCCAGCTCCTTTCTCTCGCTTTTCTGACTGATGCTTTTTGTCTATTGTTTCGTCGGGGGCTGTAAATGTGAAACAGTTGTCTTTCAGTGTTATGTGCTTGTTAGAGCTGGAATCAAGTGGAATATTCTTGGCTTATTTGAAAGAAAGAAAGAAAAATAACAAAAAACCCCAACTTTTCTTCCAGTCTTTATAAATGTAGCATGCTTCAGGTACAGGCTGAATTGAAGCTAATTATTTCCCTTCCCACACGGTATTAGTTACTGCGTTATGCAACGGAAGGTGGAGATATCGCAGTCCTGTTCCTGTGCATCTCACTTGGCTTCATTGGCAGCTGGGTATGTCGTGTGCTGATGCCTTCTGCTTCGAAGGTTCCTATAATGATCCTGCGTCGATATGCAATGTGTGTGTGCATGCTCATGAGTGCAGTATCGCAGAGTTGTCAACAGCTGCATATCTTTTGTGTATGTGTGTGTGTATATATATATATGTGTGTGTTTTTGTACTTGGTCCATCACTGGGATTTGAATGTCGGTTTTTCCTTAGCCCCTGAGAGCGGGCTATCATGGAAACACGTTTTGGGTTGCATTATAAATCTTTTTGAATGCTGACTGCTTGGAGGAAAGCTATGAAAATGCTGGATTTCGCTTCCCTTCCCTGCGTTCTCTCTCCCACGCATGTCTTTATCAGAAAAACTGGAGACTCTTGCAGACTTTACAACTACGTATGTCTTGGCTATCTCTCGCACAATCGTGCTCTCCTTGTAGCGATGCTGGCACTTATTTGAACTAACAAGGAGCCGGCAGTCTTTGGCACTTTGGCACTTTCACATGCTGCAACTGTGTAGAGAAGAGTACCACTGAGCATAAACATGCAGGAGTATGTCTTTTTCCATCCTTGGAGGAATTGCTCCACAGGGAGGGGAAAACAAATGATTCATTGATGATCTAGAGGCTTGGATAAAGGTGGAGTTATAGTGTCCAGAAAAGGAGGAAAAATGGACACGGATAGGGCCTTCTGATACTTTGGTTAAACTGACATTTATTGTTGGTTTTTTTTTTTCTTCCCATTATGAAGATGTAAAACATTTTTTAAAAATAAATTTGAGATATGAAATATGAATAAAAAAGCACAAATCTTGACCAGACAGGGATTTTTGGAAAGAAGCGAGCTGTGTGATTAGCTGTTTGCCAGTGACACAGAATAGTTTTTATTGGTGACAATTTAAAGGGAATTGAGAGGAAATCTCAATACCCAGGCCCTTCCTTTAGGAGGAAAAAAAAAAAGTGCATTTTACTTGTAATGGTTGTTTGACTTCACATGTTGTAAAGATACAGAAGATTTTAGCACAACTTGAAAGTATGCTTTTATTCTGCATAGATTCCAAGACACACTTCAAGTAAATGAAAGCAAATGCACGGTGCAAGCAGAAAAGGTTTAGGACATTCCCAATGGCGTCTGAAGTTGCAAGTTCCTCTGAAGAAAGTGTTTGCCAGTGGGCTATTGTAGAAGGCTGTATCATGTGCTAGCGCAATTAAAATATATGTTTGCTTCTGCTTAAGCGGAGTAGAAGGACATGCGTCGTGTGTGGAAGTGGGTGTCTCCTGTTCTGAATGCTGTTCCTCTAAAGAAGGTGGTTGTGAATAAGACTCTGAAGAGCAGGCACTTTAAGACAGAGATCATGAATTTAGATAAGAGAAAAAAACCAAAAAGGACCATGGTTTATTTACTTGTGGAAGGAGAAGCTTTAGAGAAGTCTCTGCGTGCATGCTGAAATGAGTAAAAAGTGATCACTGGCTGCTTCTTAACTGGAGTACAGTTGCAGAAGAAAAAAATAGGGAGCTGAATTAAAAAAATGTAAATACAGATTAGTAAATGGCAGTGGTGGTTCATATACATCATACTTGTACCACATATCTTGTCTTGCAAAGACCATTATATACATATACACATATATATGCAATTGTGTCGTCTGCTTCACAAAGTCTGAACAATACTTTAAAGACATAGTGGGTGTAACTCTTCAGGGTGTCAAGGTAATATGGGCTCACTAGTGACAAACTGGTTATTGCTGTAGGTCAGAGAGATTCTGCTGACCACTCTGCAGGTGACTGAGCAGATGCTGGGGCAAGGAATCTCTCTCATTTTGTGTTTTGATTTTGGTTTGTGTTCTGTAGAAATGCTTGACTGCAGCTACAGTGGGACTGTGACGTTATTGCAGCAGATAGGTTGCGTTGCTTCACGCACAGGGATGCTTGCTCTGGAAGAAGTGGAAGCTGCTCCGCTGTAGCTTTGTTTCTGGCTCTTTGAGAAGAGGATAATCAGTGAAGGATTGCAATCTTTTTCTTGCAGTAATCCATGCTGAAGAGGCTCCATTCATACAGATGAACCAAGGGTTGAGGCAGCACTTTAAACCCAGATAGTCGGTCGGCTAACTGCCCAGCAGGATGCCATCAACCAGCCGAGCGGGCAGCCTGAAGGACCCAGAAATTGCAGAGCTCTTCTTCAAAGAAGACCCAGAAAAGCTCTTCACAGATCTCCGAGAGATTGGCCATGGAAGCTTCGGAGCAGTTTATTTTGTAAGTAGCTCCGTGACTTGTGAATTTTAGCTGTGTCTCTTTTTATCTTTAAACTGTGGACATAGTCTTTTTTTGAACGTATTGAGGAAAAGAAACTGCTGTGCATCTTTTTGTGTGGTGTTTGGGGCAGAGATGTTTTCTTGTGTGACTGTACAGTCTCAGTCCGTTCACAGACTCACAGTATCTGTAAGGTATTTGCATACAAACTGAAAAGAAAAACTGGAAATGTGGCCCTTGCCCGCTGCTTTTAGGTGCAGGAATTTCTCTGCAAATTAAAACATGGGACTTCTGCTCCATCGATTCTGACTGGCAAGGCAGTTCTCTTGGTCTGATCATCTCCTTATCATCTCTTGTCCCTTGAGAGAAATTCAGTTCTCTCTCCCTTTGTGCATACCCCCAGGCTTCCTTAAAGCCATTCTTTGTGTTTGACACCTGAATGTTGGTGCTTTTGTTGTCATTTGTCCTGTCACATCCTTCCCTACTGTAGGCAAGAATCCCAGTATTCATCTGCATAAAACTTACTTGACATGAACGTCTGGACAGCAGAATTTTTCCCAGGCTGCTTGTATAGCTCAACCGGAGGTGGGATGTCTCATGGTAACCTCATTTGCAGGTTGCTGTATGTTAACCAAAGTGCATACTGTGAGACCTTCATTAAAAAACCATTTTCCTCAGAAAACCTTTTCAGATTTATAATTATAGGAGGTGTGGCCAAACCTGCCAATTTTCCTTCAGAAAACCATTTGTGTCAGTATTTTATGAGATGCCTATTCATTGTTAATAATTGCAGCAGACCATGTTGGGAACCTTCCAGCACAAATTTAATGCAGCACAGATGAACTAATTAGGAAAAGCTTCTTAATTTTGTTCCCTGCTTAAAACTATGAGCCGCCACTGTCTGGGAACAGATCTGGGGGAGGAAGTGTTTTCTAACGAAACAGTACTCACCTGCGGCCTTTACTTCATCTCACTTACTCGCTTTGCTTAAAGAGTGGGTATAAAAGGGAACTGACAAATCTGTCTTCCTGCTATGTGGAAATATTACTGAAGTTTTTCAGGAATGCTGTATCTTCTAGAGGCATGCATGAACCACATGGATATGGAAAACCAGCATACAGCTGGAGGTAACCTGCGAGCTGTATGCTAACAGCATTCCCAAACATCAGCAAGAAGCTGCCATCGTGGCATTTGTAGACTGTCTGAACTTTGTAGTTGTGGTAAGGGCTGATTGCCCATTGCCAGCTCCTTCTGCAAGGAGATCGAAAGTAAGAGGTCATTCATTTCTGGGCCCTTCTTTCCCTTTTTTCCCCACCATTTAGACTTGGTAGTCTAAAATGGTATTCATTATAGGTTGGCATTTATTCACTAAAGAGTGTGATTACTTAACGGTGTTTGGATTGTGCTTCTTTGATAGAAAGCGCCGTCTAATTTGGCACTTGCAAAACGTAAGTGTAAGCAGTGCATCACGCTACTCCAACCCATTTGGGGGCGTTGTTTTTGTCAAGTAAGAGAGTTTCCAACAAAAGAGATACGCTGTTGCTATTTCTGTGTTACGAAGTTTTAACCTGTAAGTTTTGTGTTGTATTATGGTATTTTTTTATGAGTAGCAGGTCTAAGATCTTGAATCTGAAACTGTTTCATGTCGTGTACTTGATACCTCAAACAGAAGCCCAAAAGATGAGAAAGACAACATGGAGGGAGAAATTTAGTGTAAATTAAATAAGCATAAAGAACTAAGGTAGAGGAGTGTATGTCTTGGGTCCTTTATTCCTCTGTAAAGCTAGGGAAAAAACTTTTCTTAACTTTCTTTAACAAGATTTTGATTCTGCTGATGCAAACAATTAAAATTTTTCTATTTAATGTAATTTTGGATTGTAGTTAATAACTGCTTAAAAGCATATTACCAAAGCCGATGACATACTCCACCTTTTCTTTGCTCATGCTTTGCTTGTATCACTGCTGAAGTTACTCTGGTCACCAGATGTTGATCCTTTGTATGGAGTTTTCAGAGAAAAGCAGGATATATGTGCATAAATGTCTGCCATAAAACAAGCCTCATTCATTTAGATCGTTTAAGTTAGCTGGCTTTGTAACATCTTCATGGCTTTTGTCTAGGAACCGTCTTTTTTCAATTATTCAAGATCACAAGGAAACTAAAAAAGCAAATGAAATTCCATGATTGTAACATTCATTGGGGTGTCAGCTGCGATGGTTCTCTCTCTCAGCCCCGCTGTAGCAGTGGAGGACTGTAGGTGTTAGGCAAACGCAATCAGGCGTTGCTTGCTTGGGTTTTCTAATAGATAGCACCCCCACCTCCAGTCTGCTTTCATTGCATACAGCCTGGATCAAAAATGTTGATGATAAATAGATGTGTGAGTAATTAACAAGTAGAAAAATCCATATAATCCTGAAATCTCCCCCTGCCTTTTTTTAATGCAGTTTAGTCTTTCGTTGTTAGTTGTACCTACCTTTATTTCCTTTTAGCGGTGATCCCGAGAAGGGGTGGTGTATTTATCTTATGTGATAACTGGCTAAGAGAGTTCACTCTTGTCTCGTTCTTTGTTTGTTACATTCTGCAGTGGCAGAAAGTTTCTTTTTTTTTTTTTTTCTTTCATAATTGACATGAATTTTGCTGGTTCACCTCATGGTTTTAGTTTCTTAGAAACTGCAAGTCTGGCACCTCTGAATCATTCTGGTATTATCCTTACCCTACTCCCTGCTCTGCAGTGTAATAATAGGTTTCACTTGACACAGGAAACCTACTACACTGGAACACTGCAGATGGAGCAGAAGAATAACCCACTCTCTTTTGTTAGAGCTGTGTTCCTTCTGCTCTACTCTAGTATTTTGCTTGCCTGGTTTATTGCAATTCTTCACTATTTTGAATGTTTCAGAGATTGCCTCTAATTAGTAAAGATCTAGGAGGTAGAATTTTATTCTTCCTTTTTTGTCTCAAAAACAGTCATCCCCCCAACCTTAGAGGTACTGTAATATCAGTGAGACAGTAGGAAGGATCCTCTCAAACAGAAAGAAAACTAAAAATAGTATTGGTTCAAGCTTATCATAACTGGTTGAAATAAAGACTGATAGGGAATTCTGGGAATCTCTTTTTGATGAACGGCAGAATTAAAACATGACTGAAAAACCTTTTTACAAAAGGCAGAGTCCCGGTACTTCATTAATCCATGTTCTGATAGGCTGTGCTTGATAGTACAAATATATTAAAAATCAGCATTTTCATCTGTCATCAGTGAATGCTGTGGTGCACATTATTTTGATTTATATTATTTGGCTTCGTATCCAAGCTGATTATTCTTATCAGAGAGACCCAGAGGTCTTTTCCTCCACCACCTTCCTATGCTGCTGAAATTCTTAACAGAGGAGAGGCTGGGGTCTTGTCTGGAGCCATTCTTCCTGCAAGGTGAAGCAGCGCTGCCTCTTCTCCTGCCAGGGTGAATAAGCCATTGCTAAATTAAACAAACTTGTCTCATCTTATCTGGGATTGTTGCTGTCTGAAGTCAGGAAGTCTGCCTTTGAAGTGTGAAAAACCATGTACCTTTATTGTGCAGTGTAAATAATATTACTGCACTGAGAAAGTGAAAGTCTGAATGGGAATCTGAGGATGGGTCTCTTAAATCGCTGCCATCTCTCTCTCTATCGTCTGCCTTCCTTTAAGACACAGTAGCTAATTTGGGAGAGCACTAGAGAGAAAGCTGCCGGTGTCTGGAGCAGGTATCTCCTGTGCATCCTGTGACATCTTTGCTTATGTTTGGAATGGAGCAAGGGGGCTGAGCCTTGCTTCTGTTTGGTCTGGAATGGATCTGGGCAGGGAAAGAAGTTGATTTAGGGAAAATCATTCTACTTGCATCAGAGCTGCTTTTATAAGCTATGATTTTTAGAAGTGACAGTACTTGACTCCTGCAGAGACTTGCTGGATGCTGAGCACGGAAAACTGTTGCACCTTGTCTCACAGAAGACTGATCTTTAACTTTGGAAGGAAATTTCTAATAGATGCAGCAGTCACACCCCTTGGAAGATATTTTAGTTTAACTCTCTGCAAAAGTTAACTAATGGATAAAGATTTTTCATTGCTTCATTGTGAGTATGTTTGGTTTACATCTTACGGGAAATCATGATCTGAAGAAACTGATGCATCATGTTTTCATGTTACAGGCACGTGATGTGCGCACCAACGAAGTGGTGGCCATCAAGAAAATGTCATATAGTGGGAAGCAGTCCAATGAGGTATGTAGAACATGTTGCTTATTAAATCTTGACGATTGCAAATACTTATTATATGGGATGATTTTAATTAGCTTGACTTACAACAAGAGAGCACTTTCCTATAACTGTAAAGGTGAATGAGGGTACTGTATAAACAAAACAGATCAGTTTACTGTTTACAGTGTATTTCTGCCTAATCTGCTCCTGGAAGAGATGGGTAGGACTCATTGCTTCCAGACACAAAGGGCTCTTTCATGGGACCACATAAATGTGTAGAAAGCAGAAAAAAAAATTTAAAAATGATAGTTTCGTATGTTAGTATGTCTTGTTGCCCTTAAATATTCCATTTTAAATACCTTTTAAAATAACCATGTTGCTTACGGGACAAAGGAATAATAACAGTGGATGCAGTAGTGAAAGATTCAGAGGGAATCCTGCTTGTACAAAGCAGTAAGGCAGAATGCGTCCTTCCCTGGAATGACTAAAACAAAAGCCAAACAGCAGTGAATGAATGAGTGTGAAAATCTGAACAGCAGCGTAATTACGGAAGAACTGCCAGAGCTAGGGATTAAGGCAGTCTTTGCAGAGAGGTCTATAAAAGTAGGCCTCTGAGATTTAAACGTTAAGTGTTTTCATGGCCACCCCAGATGTGTGGTTTTTCCCTAGGACGCTTAACAGAGATAATTGATTTTATACTTGAAATGTTTAAGTGCTAATACAGATTCTTGAAAAACCCAACATGACATGAACAGCTGATTTAGTATTATTTCTGGTAAACGACATCTATCAAATCATGGCATGATTTTTCAACAGAAGTATTTATTGTAACCATATCGTTCAAGGCCTTTATGGTTCCCTCCCTCCGTTCTCTATATTCCAGTCCTAGAAGCAGTCTTGCTCCGATGAGTTTGAGTAACAACTCATTGCTTTCTCTGCCTGCCTTTTGTGTATTGATCATCTGCGCTACAAGGAGCTGAACTATTCCTTCCTTTCTCTCTGTGTGTGTATGTATCTGTGTAGGAGGTAGAGGTGGCAACATCTCTCCAGCAGTCCTAAATTCTAGCTTCATAGTTAAATTTGCTATGCGTGTTTCTATTTTGTCACTGCGGTGACTTGTTTAACTGTGTACTGATGAAAGAATAATTTGTACTTACTACTTGTCCTACTGTTTTAATTACTGTGAGCTATAAATACTCTATTCACATGAATGAAACAAACTGTGCATGCTTCAGAAATAGCTTTTGTTTGTCTTCAATGCGTATGTTTCTTTATTTTGAAGAAAGTAATAAGACCAGGATTAAAACACTTTCTATTTTACTTCCATATTTATTTGTTTTGTTCAGAAGTTTGCTAGAGTTATGATCTAGCCTATGTAAAGAAAATTGATTAAGGGCATTCTGGTATCGTTTGTATTTACTTTGGTTTCATAATAAGATTTTTATCATTGGTGGGAACAATTATTCTCTAAAATAAGGACATATTTTACTCTAAAAATAAGTGAAAAACCTTTGAAATATGTAGTAGTGTGCTCTTAATGTGATCTTGGAGCTTTTTTTTACGCAGGAAATCATGAATACGTCTTGACTAATATATAACCTCTCTCTTCCCAATATAGAAGTTTAGTGTGATGCTTTCTTGGTTTGGCTTTTATTGCTTAGTACCTCAAAGCCTTTGAAGCTAAAAGTAAAAGGCAACTAAGTCATTCTTGTACTGGAACAAGGGTGTCAGTGAGAGAGTTTATGTTAGTATAGCTGCACTAATGTATTTCTTATGAAGTCTCTGGTGTTGGGAAATGCTTAGGCAATAAGCTGTTGTGGCTACCATGTTCCCTGGTTTCGTTTCTCTAACCGTAATATCTTTATTGAGGAGGATTTGGGTTTTGTACATGTTTTCTAAAGCATTTGGGTATATGGGACCTCTGTCCATCTATGAATCCTAGCCTCATACACCCAAAGAAGTGTGTGCTGAGAGATTTACAGGACCTGGAAAACAGCTTTTGAACCTTTTGGTGTTGGGTGAGGTTTCTCTACTTCTGATTAACTTCAGAACTGATACTCTTTCTGGAAAACATTTTCAGTGTCAAAATACTCTTTCTCGAAAACATTTTCAGTGTCAGCACTGCCATGTTGATGTCTGCATACTTAAATGGTTTCAGCTACTGCATTTGTTTTTGAAAAATCTTTTCTGGTAGTTGTAGTTTTGCTGTTGCACTTACAAGCTTTTGCCTTTCTTGCCGGAGGAGGTGTGGATGGGCAGCAAATGGGAGGACTTGGCGATTTCCTCCGAGGGGAGTAATGGCAGTGTCTAGGCACACATTGGAAAATGACATTTGGGCCTCTTCTGTACTTTAAAGTTGCACTGGCAGAGCTCTCCTTATTATAAACCTGGATTTTATTTTATCTGTTTATTCTTTTACTCCTGCGGAACCATTCTCTTATCTAGTAGGTAACTCCATTTTAAATTGGTCCGTGTAAAGACTAAACTGGTAATGGAGAAATATTATCAAGAATGTAGTCAGATATTTAGCAGATGATAAATGGAGCCTCATCCACTGTAATATAGTTACTAGTAAGGGTAGGTCTTTATATCCCCAAGAGGTAAGTGAGTCTGCTGAAGGACACTTATTGTCCACATCTCTTTCAGGTTGGGATGTTTGTTTGATTTGACAACAGAAATGATATCCCTGAAAAAAGGATTGCTTCTTTTTTGAGGACTTGCTCAGATATTAAGTGTTTACCAGTATATCCTATGCGTATATATAAATACAAAGTATTACATTGATGAGAGATCCTTAGACCCTTCCCATGCAGCCTAATCGATCAACTTCTTATTTTGTAGATCTGTTGAGGAGTTAAGCAATGAACATCATGGTGTTGATGTAAATTTATTTTGATTTGGAACCTAAAGATGGTTTTGTCTCTTAAAATAATTAAATGACATAATAACTTAACAACAACCAAAAAAAAGGTAACAGTTGTATAAAGTCTTTCTATTCCTTTTATTTTCTACAGAAATGGCAGGATATTATTAAGGAAGTCAAGTTCCTCCAAAGAATAAAACACCCTAACAGTATAGAATACAAAGGCTGCTATTTGCGGGAGCATACAGCATGGGTAAGCATCTGCTGCACTCTGCACTTCTCTTGCCTTGGTTAAGGGCGCTTTAAAATATCTCCAGCTGGCTTTCAAGAGGCACCTGAACATTTGCATGGCACAGAGTCAGATGAGAGTAGCCAAGGACCTTACAAATGCTCAGCAAAACTGACTGTAGTTTTTGGAAACAAGATTTAGGGAAATTTTCCCTTTCACTTGCAGAGTAAGGTGATTGTGCTGTTGTTCTAGTGTATTTAGCTTGATGGATGGGTATTTAAAGTAAATAATAATGGGGGGGGGGACGGGGGACGACAGGACACCCACCAAATTTATCCATCACTTTTCTTGCTGTAAGGAGGGTGAGAATTTCGCTTGTACTGACTGGAAGGCAAGTATGGCAACTGTGTTAGATACTTGCAGGTCATCTAACAACGCGTTTGGTGTGCCACTGTGTATTAATGGTTCAGTACTTAACAGGTTGACTGAATATATTACAGAAATAAGTGTTCAGTTGTATTTTAATGAAATGGGTTAGAATCTCTACTGATAATTGTAACTAAAGTATATTTTGAGCAGCTAATAGTTCTACTATTTAACTAAATTCTTCTGTTGTATGTTGTTTACTTCTGTTGTCTTTTTTGTCTGCATGTGTTTAGGTGACAAAACCAAGTAGCTGGTTTTATCTCTGGCTGTAATCTCCTACCCAGTTTCATACATTTGATTTAAACAAACAAAAACCCCCAACCCTCTGCGCGCGGCCCCTCCCCTCCCCCTCCCCCAACTAAATTTGGTTTATTTGCGTTTGTCTGCATAAAATTGTGTGTGTAGGAATAGATGCAATTGGCTATGCAGAGGAAGCATTTTGTCAAATGAAAAGTGTGATGTAGCACCTCTCATTGACAAAATTTGGTGGTACGATATACTAAAGAAATCATATTGTTGAACTAATAGTTTAAATTGCAAGTACTGTTCATATATTAGCTTCATTAAATCTGTAAGACAAAGTTTTAGTTTTTTTTGAAATCTGACTGGGACAAAATCTTAAGTAAATCCCTAAATAGCCCTTTAATACTCCGATAAGCTTGTTAAGTGCAATTTAACATTCCTGTTAAGTACGTGCATATGAAATAAAATATGTAATAGAATACATAAATGGTTATGAATATGCTTTTGCCTTCCTTACAAGTTTTGTTGCTTGGTATCTTACACAGGAAGGCTGTGCTAATTCCAGTTAGAGCTGTCTTTGTGGGAGGGGTCAGTGTGACAGTGCTAGGATGGGGCTTATGTTACAAGCAATACTTGTTTTGTTACGGCAGTCTGCATTGTATGTACCAGCGATTATTTCTAGATTTCTCGATAGAAATCTAGAAAACATGCATTTACTATTAGAGATTTTCTAACAACTATTTTGATTTCTTCCCATACAGCTTGTTATGGAATATTGTTTAGGATCAGCATCAGACTTACTAGAAGGTATGTCACACACGTTTATTTGATTGAAAGTCAGAAGTATAGTACTGAAGTAGGAGGTTACAGCATCACAGAATTGTCCTTGAGTATATAGTTTTATTTGGGGGCAGAGTGTGTGTGAACAGTTGCAATCTTTCAAATTCTTGCATGGCTGTAATGGTTTTTCTGTAGAATATGTTTTTTCTGTAGAATATCAGCTTTCCTAGGTGCCTAGTTTCTCCTTGGTTCATATTATTTTAAAGTTGTCAGTCAGCTATTTATTTTCTTCTGAGTTTTAGGTTCTCCTGTCATGACAGTTCAAGATTTATTTCTGAAAACCCTTGCTGTTGATCCTAATGCTTACTAACAACTGTAGGCCTGTTGACTAAAATAGCACTGCAGCAGTATTAGGGTCTTCCTTGATGAGGTCTTCTGTTAAAGGGTCATTTTTCTATCAGGCTTCTTGAAGTGAACTTTCTTTGAAGATATATGTGCGGCCAGTAAGTTGTTCATCTCCTTTCCTTGCCAGAAGCGTCTCAGGACAAAAGACTGAGCTGCTGGAGAGTCATCTGTATTGCTACAGTTTATTTATTCATGTGTGAATTGTTAAGTTCTAGGGTTTGGGATTTAGCTTCATTAATGGAAAATTGAATATTGAGTCTCAAATAGGTATTTGGGAGAATGGTCACAGAACTGACAGGAATGGAGTTTATCATTGCAATGTAGTCTCTTTTTTGATAGTAAATAGCTGCTGGTTTACAGTCAGAAGATTACCTCTGGTTATAGAATGTGCTCTACGCTGTGAACTATTTTTGCATTTGCTTCTGATACTGGACCTAGCAAAAATGAAGTTTTAGTATTTTCTCTCTGTTTACATTGTTAACAGTACTCACTTGTATGCTGCAAACCGCATTGTTTTCTTTAATATTGAATTTCAAATAAATTCTTTCCTTAAGTTCATAAAAAGCCATTGCAAGAAGTGGAAATAGCAGCAATTACCCATGGTGCTCTCCAGGGATTAGCATACTTGCATTCTCACAATATGATCCATAGGTAAGTGGTTATACTTTTGCTGTCTCACACACTTGCAGGTAATTTACTTTGTTGATTGTATCCCCTTCATCCCAAATTTAATATTTGTAAGCAGAGAGTTTCTTTTTGCAGTGTCTGTATGCTCCCAAACTAGTAGTCAAATACTAGCAAGCTATGTATCTCCTTATGCACTATCTCTTACAGTTGGTGTTCGTAACTTCTGCAAAATTGCTTTGAATCTGCTAAGCTTTTCCATACTTGATACAATGCTGATTGTTCCCTGAAGCAGTGACTAGCAAGGCAGGCTGAGTTCACCTAAATAGCTTGTAGCAACTGCAAGGCAAAGATTGCTGGGGCGGCAGGGAGCACTAATACTTGAAAAATTAGTTTTACATGAACACACAGGTTGAGAAGCACGCAGTAAGTATGGGATGCAAATGTTCTTTGCGTTTAAAGTACCTGCTGCATTTTAGTAGGATAAAGGATTTGAATAGTTACATTATTAGGACTTTCTGAAAAACATTTATACAGGACATAGTTGGTTCAGAAGGTTTTGCTGAACTGTATATGAAGCTTATCCAGGGCTTCCACTTTAAGTTGATTTTTAAGACAAACTAGATACCAAGATCAAGGGCCATTTTAAGCAATTAACCTAAAAGTTAAAAGATTTTGTATTTGGAGGAAATGTGGGTATTCTGCAGCTTGAACGTGTGTTCACACAGGTGTGTTTTGTAGTCTGTCCTATAGAAGGTTTTCTTTTTTGGAGGGGAATAATACTGACACTTGTATTCTATAACCAGAGATATCAAGGCAGGAAACATCCTGCTGACAGAGCCAGGACAGGTGAAACTTGCTGACTTTGGGTCTGCTTCCATAGCATCTCCTGCCAACTCATTTGTGGGGACGCCATATTGGTAAGCCAAGAGTTTTACGCATTTCTGGCTTTGTGAAGTAAAAGGATCATTTATTGGGTATTTAATATACTTGAGCTTTATTGGAGCTAGCTTTATAATCTTCCAGTTGTGGTAGTGATAAAATGTACTTTGCAAAAAAAAAGATTAAATAGTAGGCTCTGACTTCAAGAAATTGTGAAACCTTGTATTTGTAATTCACAAAAAGTAATAAAAATATTTTGTTGTTCTACTAATGCTGACTTTAAGTGGTAGAGGTGGGATTGAATAATCTGTAATATATTTTAATCACTCCCCCCAGTGGTTTTAACAATTCGTATGTTCTCACCGCGTCTGGTTGTTGAAATAACTGAAGTATTTTTTCTTTCATAGGAAAGGCCAGGTTCATTGAACAAAACCCTTTGCAGATCCCTTGTATGCTTTTGATCTCTTGCACCTAATCTGTGGTGTTTACACAATTGCATGCAATAATTATTTCACCAGAGTTGGCCAGCCAGCTAAACTATTGGAAATACGGGAGGGCGAGAAGGTGGTGATGCTCATAAAGGGAGAGCTGTGCAAAGCACAGGAGGACATCGCGCAGCCTCTCTACGGGCTCTCTACTTTACTAGTGTGGGTGCCTGGTCTTTGTTCCCAGTATCCCATGTTCATGCCTGATACCTTGGGGAATGATTTGTGTATGGTAGCTGAAATCAGTGAAACAGCCTGTTTCACTGAAATACTGATGATGATAATGTGTTCCATTGCCTAGAATTTTATGAGCACCAATTTCCTATTTTAGGATGGCCCCAGAAGTGATTTTAGCCATGGATGAAGGGCAGTATGATGGCAAAGTAGATGTTTGGTCTCTTGGAATTACCTGTATTGAGTTAGGTAAGTTTTTTTCGTAGAAAAATTATAAAATGTAGTTATTTAATACCTAGAACTTACTCAGCTGAAGCACAGTGCAGAAGATCTATGCTTCCTTCCTTGTCCTGGTTTCTCTGGAACTTGAGTTTTAGAGAAAAGAGCTAAATGTCCTCTCTAGAATTCAAGACCAAGTCTGCAATTTGATGTTTATTGAACTGGTATTTTCGTTACCCAAAGAAAAAGTTATATAGACAAAGAAAATAGCCAAGCTATATCACTAAGGGTGTTCACATTCTGTGGGAGAGGCAGTTAACTTTTGAACTGAAAAACAGTCTATTTGCTGAACAGCTTTAGAAATGAACCATTAAAAGTACCAGTGTGAAAATATATTTAATGATATAAGTTGGTATTGTTTGCATGAAAATTTAAGATGCATTAACAAGTCCTGCAATAATGAAGTTTTGGATAAGTGGACAGCTTCAAAGCTATATTCAGTGTATGTTGTCACTTGTGAATAGATTTTGCTGGAAAATCTCTTTTTTTTTTAAAAAAAAAAAAAAAAAAGAAGGAAAAAGGTATGGAATAATCCAGTTTTGAAGTGGTAACCTCTAAGCCAAAACCAAAAGAAATGATGGCATTGCCATTAGAACAGACTCCTTAAAGCAGAACATCAGTTTAAAAGGACTACGTTAGTATGGCATTCTATTTAAATTTAACGTGTAGTGTTTTCTTGAAACAAAAATACACTCGCTGAAGCACAATACCGTGCACAGCCTTACTCATATGTTAGTCAGGATCCAGCTCTGTAGAAGCACTTAGCTGTAAGGTTTTTTGGGATAGTGAGGTTCAGTGCTGCTCGTTGCACCTGAGGCTGTCCTGCCATCCTTGTCAGATCTCATTGCTCGTACTCCAAACCAACCTTGGTGGAGGAGCAGCCCAGCCGGGCAGCAAGAGCTCTCAGGAACCCGCTAATCCATGTGAACTCACAGTTTAGCTAAAAATGCTGTCTGGCATTCCAAACTGTCAACTTCATTTTCTTCCAGGACGTGAAATAGATTCTTTCTTCAGAGCAGAGATTTTTTTGGTTGCCAATATAAAGCAAGTTGAAGGGGTGTGACTGTCATGACAAAATCCTGCTCCGAGTGGAGTAAGGAGACTTGGCTGGCTGCAGCGCTCCAGGAATGCAGTGAGCTCATGGCCACCACACCCCCGGGTGCCTTCCTGCATGCTGCCTTTTTGCAATATGAAGCGTTACGCTTCGTCTACGACTTCTAGCGTGGTGGGAGGTGAGACTAGGTCAGGACGGTAGAGCGTTGTAGTCTGCGTCAGTGTGGTTATCTCATTTGTGTTTGTTTGAATAAGCATGGGAAGAAGGCAGAAAAATGAGACCTCTAGTAGTCTTCTCAAACTGTTACTTAGAAATGGCCTCATTGAGGGCTGTTTCAGTGTTTCCTAAGGATTTGTATTTTATTTGGGTGAGTTAAGAGAAAAAAGAGAGAACAGTCAGTTAAAATAGTTTAAGGGGTCAGTTAAAAGACTTTAATGGATAATCAGTCTGATCCTCGATAGCACCAACTGCTTATCTGACAGATTAGGGAAGGTAAAGTGCTACATCTGAGGAAAGGCTTAGCTCCTCAGTTTACCAATTCTGAGGAATTTGTAGGGCTTAGTCCATCCTCTGATAGCAATGAGTGAACAGTGATCTCTGATACATAGCTTACTGCTACTATTCGACTCAAAATTAAAAAGCAGAATAAGAAAACTAGCATTATTTTTTCCTTGTTTGTTTTTTCCAGGAAGGAAAGTTTTCTGTTACCTTTTCACTAGTGTAGGAACGTCCCCATGGCCTGACCAGCTTCTCTGCAAGGTTTATGGGGAGGCTGAGCTTTATAGGTTTACCCCATAAACGTTCTGATGAAGCTTCAATTTTGTTGTTACAGTGAGATCATCTCCTTCCTCATTAAGCTTTCATGCTGTGTCAGTCTATAAGAGTAACACAAGCTTGAAAGGGAGAGAAGAGCCAAAGAGAATGCAACTCTCAAAATAGTATAAAGAGTTGGCCTGTTACTGACTTCCTGCCCATGTGCTTAGTCAGTTAAGTGTGATTTGATGGTTCTTGTAACCAGCTTTTTCTTCATCACTGCTGTCCTGCTAGAATTAAATATTTGTTAGCTTTTTAGCAACTGTAGCTTAAAAAAAAGGCGGAGGGTATGAAACCGAGAATGCTTAGTGGCTAAACACCGAGTATAGAGCTTACTGTTAACTTACTCTTATTTTAGTACATTAAAATGAGTCAGAGAACTCAACTATGATAAACCACATAATTTAAAAGCTTGAGAGAACAAGGCATTTGATCTTCAAAGTGCTTTCATCTTCTGAAATGGTATAGGACATATGCCAACATATCTGTCTGATTGCAGGGTAGGGTTGGTTTGGGGTTCCGTGTTCAGGCAATAGTGATTCTGCTGATGTGGTTTTCTTTATAAAGGGATGTAAACTAAAAAAGAGCAAAAACATGAGACTATCTCCCTATATAAAAATTATTTTCTTTTGTGTGTAGCGGAAAGGAAGCCTCCTTTGTTTAATATGAACGCAATGAGTGCCTTATATCACATAGCGCAGAATGAATCCCCTACACTACAGTCTAATGAATGGTGAGTATTACTGAGGGAGGAATGTTGTAGGGAATTGCTGTAAATGGAGTGCTTTGTCATGCTGAGTTCTTGAAATGGCTGGATTCCTGTTGGGAGGATGTGAGCTGGAAGGTTCTTATTAGGTTCACTATACATTTTTGTGTATACAAAATTGTCCAATTACTAAATATGATTTTAGACTCTAGAACATAGTAGAAACAGGACATGCTGCTGGAAGAACATAAGATCCTGTAAAAAATTCAGTTCATGGGTCAGTAAACTTTTGAAGCTCCCGGGCTAGCCAAAAATGTGGTTTTTAGTGTTTTTTAATCACAAACCACGCTGTCAATTCCTAAATCTTGTTTTGTTGAAGTATTGCTTTGCAAGATGAAGACACTGCTTGTGTGCGGCAAGTGTCTGTTGCATAAACTTCAGAAGAATAAAGCACAGTAGTAACATTTTGTGCCTCCCAGCCTCAACAATTGTGTTTTGAAACAGCAAATGCAGTAAACAAATATCAAAAGTTAAAAACTTCCTAATTACATTTTTCTGAGCCATAGTCCTAGGCATCTAACAAAATACATTGTGCCATATTTTTATAAATTTATTTTCTACTTTTGAGATTTTTCTGGTTAGGCTATTTCATACCCTCGTCCTTGACAAAACATTCAACTCATTTTATGCATTTTTCTGACCAAAAAATGCAATAATGTAATTTACTGAAAAACTGCAGTAGCAAAAACCCTCATTACATGATGGGAGGGGGGAGCGGTGGGGCAGGAAAGAAATAAAACCTGTAAAACTGATGTGCTGCTGTTTTCAGGGTATAATCCTGCCCTTCTGAAAACCTGTGTTCAGAGAAAGAAAGGGCAAAATACAGAATTTTAGCTTACGGAGGGAGAGGTGTTACTAAGCAAATCATGACCTTAAGTCTTACTTGTGATAGATTGCACAATAGCGTCGAAGTTGTGTCTGAGGGGCCAAAAGCATTTCAGAAATTGTGTGTTAATACAGTTTGTGGATGAAACACCTGCACACAGAGGTGAAACAGGGCGGGGGCTCTGATTAGACCTTGAAGAGTTTGTGCAGTATAGAATTTGGCAGGATTGGTGCTCGCCCTGAGATATGTGGGTGTCTGCCTTTACATGGAACTTCCCTTCGTCTTGAATTGCCCTGTATTTTTGCATTCTTAAGCTGAAACATTTTGTCTGGAAGCTGAGGTTAAGGGATCTACATACTAATAGCGGTGGGCTTTGGCTTGACTAGGGATGTCAGAGGCTTTGTTGGTTTCTCCCCATTCCTTCTACCAGCAGTGCCCAAATGTGAATGTCTTGATTCCTTAATGAGCTTTGAAAATTAAACTGGGTGGTTAACTCAGATGTTTGTTTGGTTTATTCTCTTTCCTTGCCACAGGTCTGATTATTTTCGAAACTTCGTAGATTCTTGCCTCCAGAAAATTCCTCAAGACAGGCCTACATCAGAGGAGCTTCTGAAGGTTGGCTTGCTTGTCCTTTTTGTTTTCCATATGGTATTAAAAAGGGGCCATGCCCTGTGACACTATTCTGTCTCACCTGCCGCACTAGGTTACAGTTAATGATGCTCTCTCTGCCCATTAACCCTAACACCTTTGAGCTGAGGGTGCTGTGGAGTGTACCGAGCTGGCGGTCCTAGCTTTACTGCCCCTTTGCAGTGTCTTGGGCAGTTCCCCAGGTGGCTCTCCAAGTCAGCCTTGTTCTCATCTTAAAAGGATGCCCCAGCAAGTGACACTGGATAACCATCAACTTGTCGAGACTTTCAGTTTCTTAAGCTCAGTCTATCCTTCCAGTGATTATGATTAATCCTGACAGAGCTGCCATGCATTAGTTAACAAATACCTTTCGTTACTTCCCTCTTTATTCTATGCTATATATACTCCTAAAGGCTTTTTATCCTCTCCCATCACCTATGTACTTTACACGTAGAACTGAAATCCGCTGTTCTAATAGTATCCCTGGGGGAAGGGGGGCAGAGAAAAGCAGTTTTTCTTCCCCAATCGTTTCCTTGACATGAATAAGCCTCAGCCGGTTTTCTGCAGGTTTTCTTCTGCTTTATTTCTTAGCTTTTTTTTCTTCATTTGTGCTTCTGTATGCTGCAGATACTTGGTTTTCCTTGCTCTAGTCTGGAAACAAAGCCAATGTGGTAGATTGTTGCAAAAAGCTGACGTGTTCCTAAGTGAACGCAACTCACATAGAAGTTAGATGATAGAGCTGCTTTATTGTAAGTGTGACTTTGATGGATTTCCTTTGTGGCATCAGGTGGCATTCAGAATTTTGCTAACTTGTCACTCTCTTTACGGTGCTTGTGACATTATTTCGGTTTTTTTAATCCCAGCCATGTTCCCGCTAAACAACGGTTTTCCAAAATTTTGCATTGGAGGGAAATGGAAGGTTTTATCATCACCTTTTTGCATGTTTTTACTTAAGTGGCTCTGAGGACTTTTGCTTCTTTAAGAACTGTATTCAGAAAGTAGATGCAATTATCCAGTAAAGGTTTCGGTGTGGGTGTGTAGTCCTGCCATTTCAGAATTCTGCAGATTGGTTTTATTTTGAGCAATGCACCACAATTAAAGAGAACATTGATGGAAATTAAACGTTTGTGAATGTATTCCTTCCATATCTATAGTCTGAAACAGCTGCATGCCACTTTACAGGGACAGGTAGGGAATGTGACTTGGTGGAAATGGCAATGCAGTTCTCCAAAGGAACAAAATGAAACTAGCGGTGGTGTTGTTAATGACTCATGCTTGCACAGCACATTTCGTCTGGAGAGTGCAAAAGCTGCTTCTGACATGCATAGACAGGACTTGTTTTACCTATTGGCAAAATGTAGCCCCCTTTGCCGTGAAATGCAGTGAATATTTCCAAAAAAAAGAGCATAACATGGCTAACTGTTCTAGGGCCGGGCTTGAAGGTTCATGGCCTGTTTTATGACTCAGCTGTATGCTGAATACTTGACTCTCAAGTTTTTCTAAACAAGGAAAACAGTTTTATAGTGAGAGTTAGCTGATGAGTTAATTAACATTTGGTTAGAGATACTTAACCAGTCTAACACCTTTAGCATTTATATGTTATTTGTTGCTCTTCCCCCTCTAAACCACAAGTATATAACGTCTCTAAATACCCCAACATCCGAAGAAGTCTAGGTTTAAACTGAGCCTGTTTTGATGGTATGTGACATACCATTTCTGTTTTTTTTTTACATCTTTACTTTTTGGTGGGTGTCTCCCATCAGAAAGCAATCATTCTGAAATCTATCTGGATCATGAAGTCTAAAAATAGTGTCAATGTAGCCTGTGAAGGTATTCTTCTCCTGTGCAGGGAAGAGGGCTAACAAACCCAAATTATGTAGTTCATAATTGTATCCTCAAAGCATGTGCTTTGCCATGAGGCATAAGAGGTCACTCACCTATTTGTGTGTTCTACAGCACATGTTTGTTCTTCGGGAGCGGCCCGAAACAGTGTTAATAGACTTGATTCAGAGAACAAAGGATGCAGTGAGAGAACTGGACAACCTGCAGTATCGTAAAATGAAGAAGCTCCTCTTCCAGGAGGCACACAATGGCCCTGCAGTGGAAACACAGGAGGAGGAGGAGGTGAGAGAAACTTCGGATTTCATCACTGAACCAGAGAATGATGCTGTCATTTAAATAACCACAACTCAGATATTGCTAAAACGAGTGGAGGCTTTTTACACACCTGGCTGTAAACTGTCTTCCTCTCTGTGCTTGGAATAAAGCTACCTCAAGGCACAAACAAGGACAAGCAGGGTAGATGCCTAGTGCTGGCAAAAAGCTGTGCCATGTGTTCATGCTTGACAGTTAGCTTCCAGTTCTGTAAATCCTGGCTTTCTTTGCCTATTTGTAAGGCCTCATGAGGACTCTTTCAGCAGCTGCAGTTAACCTCTATTTTGACCATATATACAAGGCCCTTCACAGTCTTCTAGTTTTGTCTGGAGAATGTTGTTCTGAGTCTAAGACATAGAAATTTGTAATTGATTTAAAAAAAAAAAAAAAAAAAGAAAAGTTGTCAAGGAAATTCATTGTCTTTTTTGAGTTGCATGCTGCAGTCACTGTGCAGAAATTGAGACTCTCTGAATTGCAGTTCTCTCATGTACAGAAAGGAACCGTGCGAGGTGCAGGGTCCTAGCTGAGCACTTAGATGATGCTGGTGTCAGAACAGTTTCTGGTAGCACGCTGTTGCTGATACATGATAGAATTCAGCTTGTTAACAGGCTCACTGTTGAAAAGAATCTGACATCAGCCAGTTAATCTTGACAAGGTTGATTCTTTCTCTTCCCAGCATCCCAGAAGAGAAGTGTTTCATGGCAATGCCTGGAGGGTGGGAACTGCCATGACATGGCAGGTAGATGCCTTTAGAAAGGAATGGAATGAACATTTCATTTGGTAATATCCATAGATACAACTGTGATGGATTTGGATTTTTCTTAATAATTCCTTTCTCCTAGGAACAAGATCACGGTGTCGGCAGGACAGGAACAGTGAATAGTGTTGGAAGTAATCAGTCCATTCCTAGTATGTCTATCAGTGCCAGTAGCCAAAGCAGTAGTGTTAACAGTCTTCCAGATGCCTCGGATGATAAGAGCGAACTGGATATGATGGAGGGGGACCACACCGTGATGTCAAATAGCTCTGTCATTCATTTAAAGCCGGTAAGCATTGGATTTTTGCCTGAATAACTTTGAAGGTGTAAAGTGGGAGAGTATTTGGTTGGTACCATGACAAAAAGTCACGTGCTTCCTATCCTAAATCATTATCTGCAGATTCTAATATTGTGTCCCAATAATGTACGCTGGAAACTTCGGAAGGTTGCTGTGACGGTAATTTATTTCTGTTGATTACTAAAAATTATTTTACTAACTGAATTGTTTCAAAACCAGTTTGCTTTACCATAAGGACTTGGAATGGCAGGTTGTGAATAGGTTTATTTAGTGCCCTTAACTTGCAGAGCACTGCTTCATGGGACAAAAGGATGCGAGAGTTTCCCCTTTTTACCTCTTAGTTAGTGAATTCTTAAATACAAGACCCACAGCAGTGGTTGAAATCTGTTCCTGAAGCACACAGCTTCCCAGCACTTGACTCAAATATTTGGTTAATGAGCAAAGATGCACAGAAAAAGAAACGCAGAACTCTGGCCATGGCAAGCTTCCCCTGCTTTACCTCTGCATGATGAAGGATAAAACTGGGGAACATCCCTCTGAACTATACTGCTCTTGCTGTGGAGGGTTATCACACCTTTTCTGAAAGCAGGAACGTTTCCCTAGCTAATGATAGGTGTGGTTAGAATGTTCTGTTCTTTGCCCAGATATGCAACAAAGATGCAGGTATTTCCTCGGGGAGTGAGTTAGTATATCATATCTAACTACTAATCGCTCTGTGATGAATGACAAACTCAAAATAAGAATGTGGAATACACCATGACAAATTTAAAAATTTGCTTTGAGGTATTTCTGTAGTGGGTGTAATGAAAATCTTCCTCTGTCTTTCAGGGTTACAAAGATGTTGTTTTTGTCTTTCAGACCTGATGTAATCTACTTTATAGCTTTTATGTTTTGTTGGAGTAAACTGTTTAACTCAGTTTTCAGCTTCCAATTTATTTTTCTCATTTTCAGCTTTAATTAGTAATTTTCCTCCTAGTAATAAAAATGTGCAATGAAATTTCCAAAAGCAAGGATCCTAGATCAGAGCTCTTGTTGCAGTATATTCCTTCATTCAACTTATTGGCAGGAGGATCTTTCAGGGCTGCTGAATGTAAAATGGTTTTTCTTCCTTTAAAATGTCTTTTGAACCAGACCAAAATAAAAATCTTTAGTAACACAGATTCTTTTTATTCTCTCACATTAATATTTGCTGATCAGGAGGAAGAAAACTACAGAGAGGAATCAGATCCTCGAACAAGGGCATCAGAACCCCAGTCTCCTCCCCAAGTATCTCGCCACAAGTCTCATTATCGCAACCGAGAGCACTTTGCTACTATACGCACAGCATCGCTGGTATGTTAAGGTTTTTATTTTGATGAAGTTGTATAGGAAAGGATGCTTTTGAACATAGCGCCATGAAACTACATAGAGCTGTTAGGATTTCGTCAGAATATGAGCTATCCTCGTTGACTGAGATATTATCACTGGAATAGTTTAATGTAAGTTAATAAAAGCTTAAATGCGACACCTGGGCAAATGTAATTTGTGTATACTAGATATTTTCAAAACCAGTACGCCTAGCAGAATGCAGGAAACCGTTTATAATAGTAAGCTGGCTTTTATTTTCATATGTGTATTATGTATATTTGTGTGTGTATGTGTGTATATATGCACGCTCATATTGCAGTGGGCTAAAAAGACATTATTTAGTACCAACTTTATAACAATTGTACAGTTTTTCTGCTGGAGTCCATGTGAGCTTATCTTCTACAGCAGAATTCAGTTTTTAATCTGCTCTGCTGCCATTAGCATGTATGCTTTTCTTTACAACAAAATCGTATTTCTTTACTGAATAGTTTTCTTTTGTGGTTTGAAGACTGCTGAAAAGCAGATTAAGAAGCATTAACTTACTTTGGCCTGATGTGGCTATCTTCCTAGGTGACAAGGCAAATGCAGGAACATGAACAAGACTCTGAACTCCGAGAGCAGATGTCTGGCTATAAACGTATGAGACGGCAACACCAGAAGCAACTGATGGCATTAGAGAATAAACTGAAGGCAGAGATGGACGAGCATCGCCTCAGGTTGGACAAAGATCTTGAAACACAGCGTAACAATTTTGCTGCAGAAATGGAAAAGCTAATTAAAAAGCACCAAGCAGCCATGGAAAAAGAGGTAGGAGATTACGGTTTAGCAGACCAGTCTATATTTGTTAATTACATTGAATTGTCCACTCCCCCTCACTGATGAAGAGATGACATTGTAGTCTCTTACATGTCTGTTTTCAGGAGCCAAGCAAATTGCTAATTAGAAAAAGGCTAATACATCACCTCCTTACACTAAGGGGTTTATGTAACTAGAGGAAAGGTATGTCCTTCATCACAGTGCGTTATGCTAAATGTTAGTATACTGACCCCAGAAAAAATACTGTAAGGGTTTTCCTTTCTTTTGCCATGTATATGTTGTCAATAACTGACTGCTATCAAGTGTTATGGAGGCAGATCAGCCTGCAGAGAAATGTGCCAGCTACGCTTAAATGTTCACCATCTAGTTGCTTATGGATATGGGGGTTTTTATGCTTTTAAATAATTGATAATGAAGTGGTGCCGCCTACAGCGATTGTTATTGATTCTTTGTTCATCTTGGATCTCTCGGTGGAGGGCTAAGGATATAATTTATCATAAGGTGTTGACTTTGTTAGACAAGACTAGCTGAACAATAGGGCTGAGGAAATGAGGCACTGAAAAAGGACTCCTGCTGGGTGCGTTGATGTGGGGGTGGAATGAGAAGAGGGTGAGGGCAAGCTCCTGAGGCTCGCGCTTACTCAGAGTCACGGTGAGTATCATGGTGACTGTACCATGAGTTCTTGGTCTTGGGGCTGAAATGGAACGTGAGCTGTAATCCTTCGAGACTCAAACTGATTTGCTGCTGGATTTGCTGTAGGCTAAAGTGATGGCCAATGAAGAAAAGAAGTTTCAACAGCATATTCAGGCCCAACAGAAAAAAGAATTGAACAGTTTCCTGGAGTCCCAGAAGAGAGAATATAAACTTCGTAAAGAGCAGCTGAAAGAGGTAACTCATCTGTAATGAGAAATGTGAATATAGTACAGTGTACGATACAGTGCGAGAGCGGTGAACGTTCAGAAATAGAAGTGCCACTGTGCGCAAGAGATCTTCCGCTGGATTGAAGCAAGTTCTGCATTTCATGAGCAGAGTTCTGTACATACTGTATTTGTATTCATATCTTTGACCTTAGAGTAAGAGGATTTATTTATATATTGGCACCTATATGGTTATCTTCTGAAAGTACAAACTTGTCCATTGTTTAATACTACTTTTTAGCCAGAACCATGCCAATTTGGCAATCCTAAGGAATGAAAAAAGGTAGTTTAAGAAAGGTCATGAGCATTTTTCTTATGCCTTGTTGCTGCAGATATTGACCATGCACTGCATCGATTAGTGAAGTTTCTTACCACTTAAATGATATTTCTGTAGCAGCAGCAGGAAAACAGAGCAGTAAAGATGACCTGCAGATTTTTTTTTCGTGAAAATATCTGTAAAACACCATTTAATTTTAATGGAGAAAGCTGTGTAATAGTTTAATAATCACTGTATTGTAGTGAAAATCATGACCTTTGTGAAATGCAGAGAAACTGTAGAATCAAACTTCCTGATTCTTTTTGTGGAGTGGCTGAAACCGTAAGCACTATAAATAATTTTTTTTGAAAGAACCATTTAGTGCTCAACCATCAACTTGTGTGACGCAACTTTGGAACTTGCTCCAAAGGGGAATATTCCCAAACATAGACATTTCCCAGGAGAAAAAAAGGCTAAAGAGCAGCAGAGCCAAGAAAGATCTAACAAAAACTATAGTAGCGTGGGCTCTTTATAATAACATAGAATCTTCTTCTAAGTGGGCAGTAGATCACAGAGCACCAAGAAACACAGATGAAATACAGAGGAGTTCTGTCTCATACTTAAGTTGAAATGTATCACAACAAGTCTAGTTACTGTATGGGCATCTCTAGTACGCAATTCAAGCAAGCAGAGTCTTTTTCCAAAGGTGCTTCAAGCTATATATTGAATTTAATACAAATGTGGAAACTGTGACTTTATGTTTCACCTGTAAACTTCTTTATATTGTTTTTGTAAGTTATGGAGTCTCAGTGAGCAGCCCTGCCTTGATGAGTTACTTACAAAATGTGTATGTGTTCTGATCAAGCAGGACACAAATTTTCTGGTGTGCTTCATGTGGCTGGAGTTTTGTATGAACAATGTTTGTAAATGAGATAGGATGACAACGCTTTTCTTCTCCTCTCAGTCCTTTGGGAGCCTGTAAAAACATTTGTCAGGCAGTATGGCAGGATCTCCAAGTGTCTTTGTTTTCAGTGGCAAACCATCATTTTTATGTTTTGAGCTAATATATATGTCTGGAAACTGTGGACGTGAACTGGCATTCTGATGGGTTAAAATGGCCAATGCAGAAAAAAGTTGTAGTTAAATTTGCTCCACTGTGAATTGTCTCCTGGTGTTCCCTTAGATATGCAATATGATGCGTTTTTGCAGAGACTGGGATGATACCGGCCATGAGAAGACAAGGTGGAATGGCTTTGTCTGAAATGTAGTTTATTAGGCAGGTCTGTCCAGTTGTTCAGGGCTAAGGAGCTTAATGTAACTATTCCACAATTAATTACCTTGCTGTTATCAGGAGCTGAATGAAAACCAGAGCACTCCAAAGAAGGAGAAGCAGGAGTGGCTCTCCAAGCAGAAGGAGAACATCCAGCATTTCCAGGCAGAGGAAGAAGCCAATTTACTGAGGCGTCAGAGGCAGTACTTGGAGCTGGAGTGTCGCCGCTTTAAGAGACGGATGCTCCTTGGCCGCCATAATCTGGAGCAGGACCTGGTTCGGGAGGTAAGAGGATAAGCAGAGATGAGACCTGGAACCACCTGTGTGAAATGTATCTCACAGGAGCACCTGCCATCCAACTCCAATCTCAGTGAAGTGTTAATTACCACATCTGAATTTTTTTGGTAAAATGTTCGATATGTTTTTGCAATGCCATCTGGTAATCCCTATGGCATTTAGGGGATCATGTGGAATCAAATGTTCAGGTTAGTGCTCTGTTGCGGGAGAATTGTTAGATCCAAAAAGTCAACAGACACAACAGTTACAGTCCTTTCTAGAAAATGCGTACTGTGAATCCTGTTGAGCATCTTGAACAGGAAGAAGAAAAGTGAAATGGGGAAGGAAAAATTACCAGTGGCGGTGCTGTCTGCTTCTGAAAAGATGTAGAAACTCTGTGCCCTGTCCTCAAATGCCTTGGAAAGAGAGAATTGCCCTTGTGAACAAGTGAAATGTCACGTTATGAACAGAAATCCAAGTAAGTACAAAGAATCTAATAATTCCCTCTGTCCTCCTGTTAGGAGTTAAACAAAAGGCAGACACAGAAGGACCTGGAGCACGCCATGCTGCTGCGTCAGCACGAGTCCATGCAGGAGCTGGAGTTCCGCCATCTCAGTACCATCCAGAAGATGCGCTGTGAGCTGATCCGACTCCAGCACCAGACTGAGCTCACCAACCAGCTCGAATACAACAAGCGCCGGGAGCGGGAGCTGAGGCGTAAGCACGTCATGGAGGTCCGGCAGCAGCCCAAGAGCCTGAAGGTACTAAGTGATGTAGGAGCTCTGGATGCGAGCTGCTGGTGGCGGTGGAAAAGTGGTACACTGCAGCTCAGTTCTCATTTGCAGTGTATGCAGGTCCAAGGTATTTTGAAGCTCGTTAATCTGAAGAGGTGTCTCATTCTGTAATGAATGCCTTTTTTAAAAAGTGTCATATTTGTCGAGTTGTGTAACTGCCAGGGTGCAACTGCAGCCCTACAAGCACCATATGTATGAACCATAGCAATGGTGATCCGGGTTGCAGCGTATTGTAGGCAGGCCATAGCAGCACTTTTCCCTCATTTTATTTGAAAAGCTATTGTTCTCAGCAATGTGCCTTCCTTTCTGTGGTAGTTTAAAATGCATTTAATCTTTGCAGTGCCCTTTCTTCCCCCCTTCTTCCTCCTACACCATTTTCTGATCCTCTTCTCCCCTCATATACAAGAAAAAGATCTATTTTTCTGTAATGAAGCAGTGTCATTTAAAAAAAAAAAAAGAAAAGAAAAAGAAAAAGCTTTGCGTTGCTGTGTGCATCAAAATGAACTACAATATTGGTCTTGGCTAGCACACCTTGTTATTGGTTTTATATTAAGGCTGGTATGCTAGCAAGTCGGGGGGGAAGAGAGAGAGATACCAGCCAACTGCAGTGTCCTCAGGAAGCTCCTAGCACTGACCTTTGCTGTGTTGTGCTCTCATGGGTTTCTCATGCTGCCCTTGTAACTGCAGTGGCTGACCAGAACTATAGGGCCTCTGTAATTGAGGCTATTAGTGTTTTCTTTGTAAGCCTTCACTTCATCCAGAGAAGTCCAGTGGTTTATTCTGAAGTGTCTGAGAAGGGAGTATAAGGCCTTTCACAAAGCTGCCTGGTACATTTCCTTTGAGGAGGCAGGCTTCTTCTCTCCACCCAGTGTTCAGCTGTGCCAGTAACAAAATGAGTGTATGGCATACTGAGCACGGGGTTTCTTTGTTGTTCTAGGTCTTTCCTCTTCGTGATATTTCCCATCTGACTTAGTTTTCACCACCTGCAAGTTATCTTCTTACAGAGAAAATAACCAACTTGAAAATAGAACTTCAGCAAGAAAAAATAAATACCTGATTTGTCAATATTAGAATAATATTAAATAGTGAAAACCTAGCTTGTGAGAACAAGGGACCATCTGATCACTGTTGAGAATCTCCAAGGATATAGTGTATAAATAGCTGATGACTTCACAGGGAAGCTGCGCTGCACTCTGAGCTGAATAAAACTGAAGCAGCTGTATTAGGTTGATCCTTCTGAGATTAGCATGAATGAGTTCTGCCTCCCCAAGGTGATGCAGTGCAAACACGAGTGGGCAGCATGTCTGTTCTCGTTCCCTTGCTAGCAGTCGGGACAGCAAGATCGGCAGTCTCTCTGGACTGCAGAGGCTTGGCTGCCCTCTCACCTCTGCAGATTCTTCAACCCATTCCCTTTTCCAGTGAGGACAGGGCTGGAGCGTTTTGCAGGGAGCATGCAAAAGCTTGCGCTTTGCTTTGCGTGGCTGTTCTGTGATTAGCAAAGGATTTCAGGCTTGAGCTGTCAATCCAGCACCTTTGCGTACACACAGTGCTAATAATGCAGCTTGCTGGACAACTGTTTGGTTTGTAGTACAATCTCCCATTTATCGAGACTGTTCCCTAGTATTAACTCTTCTCTTGCTTCTGACTAATGCAGGCAAGTATTCTTATTTGACTAGATAATTTGATTATTTGTTCAGTTTCTCTCCTCAGCAACATTTTCCCTCGAGGGCACGTGTTTCAGGCTTTCCCTTAGTTATTTAGTGAGGTCCTTTGTCCTGAAAGCAGACTTTTAACGGTCAGTGTCTGTTGCCGCTATTACAGCACCAGAAGGACTGATAACTAGAATTCACCCTTCAGTGAAAACTGCTCTGTTATTATTTCGAGTGTGCTAATTGTGATGCAAATACCCTCTTGCTGGTATTTCACAATACTAGGTCAAAATGATCTTGTCAGAAGTCTGACTGGAAATCTTACCCCTCCCTTCTGTTTCCTGTTGTTAAAGCCTTTGGATTGGAAGCCTGTAAACAGAGTCTAGTGTCCAAGTGAGACTTCACAGAAAGTGAAGACAAAATAGATTGCCAGTGTTTTGCTGTGACCATGTCCCTGATGGGAATGTGTAACCTGCTGGCACTTCCCTTAGGGGCAGGGAGAAACAACCTTAAAGGTTTCCTGGAGGGAAGTAACTTCCTATGAATTTAGAAAGGGTAAAAGCAATGTATTCCTCTCTGTGATTATGTTTGGGTTTGAATGAAACCCAACTTTGTCCTGTTTTCTGCATGAGATTAGCAAAGTGGAATTGTTGGTTTATGCAGCAAAGCATGCTGATGTCTAAATTGGGCTGGATGTATTGTCTGATCCCACTGCATCTTTCTAGGTAGCTACAAGTGCTGTGCTTATCACCTACCCTGCTGAGCCTTGAGTTAGTGCCAGGAGCAGGCAGTGGAGAAGCTGACAGGAGACGTGCACGCAGATATATCTGCCTTGCTGGTTCAGATCACAGAGCTCCTCCAACTTATTCAAGGGACAGGAATCTATGCTCTGTTCCTGCCCACAGTGCTTTAGGATTTGGCCGTGGTGGCTGACAGTGGGAATGGCCCAGAGTGTATACTGACTGCCCTGATGTGGGGGTTTAGGGGTTTTTTTGTTTGTTTTTTCTTCCCGTGGCGAACTTGACTATCTGTCAGTTAACCACCATCGTTCATCACTTCTGGGTTTCGCTTAGTTAGAATTATCCCTGCCAGCCCTCCTGTAGAAAGATACAGGGAACTCCAGAACACCCTCCTTTTCAGGGTCTTAAAACACTTAGCAGACGTTAACCCTTACAAGCTGCTCTAGAGGCAGGGGAAAGAAAAAAAAAAAAAATTAATTTCCTCAAAGTCATACAGCAAAATCAGATCCAGATACCTTTTCCAGGATTGATGTCTCCCAGCCTTATGTGCAATCGTGAAGTTGTGTCTCTAAGCAATAGAGATGCTAGCAAAGTGCAAAGGGAAAACTCAATCTCCAGGAAGCCTCCATTGGGACTGGGGAATTGTTTTGTTTGCTAGACTAGCACAATGCTAATGTTGCTTGTGGCGTACATCTTCAAGCGTCTAATCTTTCCCAGCCATTTTTTGAGTATCTTTATGAAAACCAGCCTTGTAATATCAAGGGTTATAATTCATCTTATCTTCATCAAACTCTCAATGGAAAAAGTGTTGCTCTTTTTCCCTGTCCCTTTCCATGCACCAGATCTGCTTCTTTTCATAACATTAAGTGCTGTTCATATATGTGTGCCATACAAGCACAGCCATGTGTAAGTGTGGCTTTTGGTGCTAATAAATATTAGTCCTGTCCCTCAAGAACTTTTCTTGAAAAGCAACACCCAGGACTGGATCCAGTCCAGTGACAAATGTGAGGCTCTTTGTGCAGAGACAGCTGTATTTAGGCTGGAGCTTTGTTATAAAAGTGTCTGTATTGTAATTGTTTCGCACAGTAGCAGTGTCAAAGCAGCTGCAGCAATAGTCATTGCCTCTTGTGTATTTTGCTTCCCTCCTTGCACTGTAGATGTTAATACACATTTGTGGATTCTTGAACTCATATCCTTAATGTAATCCTAAATATCCATTTGAATGGATATTTCTCCCATTTGAAACATGCTGTTTTTTTCTTTGTTTGTGTCCCCTCCATCTTTCCAGTCAAAAGAACTACAGATAAAGAAGCAGTTTCAGGATACATGCAAGATCCAAACCAGACAGTACAAAGCACTGAGAAACCATCTGCTGGAGACCACGCCAAAGAGTGAACATAAAGCTGTCCTCAAACGGCTCAAGGAGGAGCAGACCCGGAAGCTGGCTATCCTGGCTGAGCAGTATGATCACAGCATTAATGAAATGCTCTCTACACAAGCTGTGAGTCGCCTCCGAGGGACCCAGGGTTCCTTAGCCAAATAGGGATGTTTGCATTTTAACCAGCCTGTATCCTGACAGCAGGCTATCTGCTTCCCTGCTACATGCACCATACCCAGCACAGTCATTCCTCTGTATTTAAAAAGCAGCATTCAAACGCAGAGGGAAGAGGTATTACCCCCTTCAGGCATGTTGAAGTTGAAGCTGCTGTTGCAGAGATGCAAAGCGATGCATCTGTGTGGCCAGAGGACTGCTTTTGCATGAAGTTTGACAACATAAACGTCTCTGTTAGAGCATCGTTAAGTAATATGCAGCTTGCTGTCTTAAGACATTTAGGTTTTGATTCATCAATGATACCAACCAAAGCATGTCCCACTGGTGGAAGATGCTCATTGAGTCATGGAGGAGTCCAGAGTTTTGACTGTAAATGTGAAATAATGTTAAAAGTGTTGTGAAAGTTCTGTGATTCCTTCTTTAAGAGATTCCTTCTTTAAGGAATGACCACATGGGCAATGTTTTGAGTCCTTGCTACAAATGAATGTGCACTTTTCTTTGCACTTCTTGCGTATTGCATCCTGCTCACATCACTCTACAAATTTGACACTGTGAGGCATAGAGTAGCTGGCTTAATTTGTGTATGGGAAGGTTAAAAGTTCATATCATGCTGCTTTTAGGTTTATGTCATTATATTCTTTCGCCTGAAGTTCTGCATTGGCAGGGATATGGACTTAAGTCTCGTGCATACAGGTAATTGGTTAATCCAGTTGAACAGAGCAAGACATCTTTTCTTTGCCTCTAGCAAAAGGAGGGCTGTGGATGTTAGCACCTCCAGCAGTCTGGTCTCTGCAGTATGGATCGGGGTTCCTGAGGCGCCACTGCTCATCAGCATCACTTGCATCAGCGCTGTGGGCTCACTGTCACCAGTCTTAGTCACTATAGGTCCTCTGTTCAGTGAAATGAAGTACAATAGAGACCAATTGTATTGCTAAGAAAACAAAGTCCCATCCCATTCTCTTCCCCTCCTCGCAGTCCTCCCCCGGAGTGTCATGAGTGGTTACCCCATAGTGAAATGTCTCTATTGTCTGTCTTTCCCAGCTGCGTTTGGATGAAGCACAGGAAGCAGAGTGCCAGGTTTTGAAGATGCAGCTGCAGCAAGAATTGGAGCTGCTGAATGCATATCAGAGTAAAATCAAGATGCAGGCAGAAGCCCAGCATGATCGGGAGCTGCGTGATCTTGAACAGAGGGTATCCCTGCGTCGGGCCCTCCTTGAGCAGAAGGTAAAATGGGCAGGCGAGCATAATTAGCACGCTCCATATTTCAGATCTTAAATTGCACTGTACTTATCAATAGAGAGAGAAATTGCTTTTACCTTGTTGTATATAGTAACACAGATCATTTGGGTATTTGCCTCTCTGGGATGATAGCTCAGTGACATATAGGCTAAACTTTCTGCCAGCTCAGCCGTCCTATGTGAGCAGCTTCTGGCTAGGATAGAGCTGCTTGAAGCGTGCCAGAGGGAGCTGCGCCTCTCTGGGCAGAAGGGAAAGTGAACTGTTCTTTCTGTCTCTGAGCTGCAGATTAGCTTCCCAGCTCATTAGAGGACAGACAATAACAACCTAAAGCTGCGGGGGGCTTTTGGAATTTGCATAGTATCGGTAGTAGGTGTCGGGGGGGGACGGACGTAAAATGTGTTTGAGACCCTGTGTTTTATGGTAATATTATTTTACTGCAGGTCTGCTCCATTTGTCAGTCTGGAGACCAGGCTGCAGTTTCCCTATGAAATTATGCTTGTTATGGAAATGCTGCTGTCTGCAGCATTTCCCTAAGCAAACTGAAGTAGCCAGACCCACAGGCATGGGTGACCTGCTGCTCCCTAGATTTCAGCTTGTAATTGGCTATGTGTATTAAGGTGCTCCTTATTGAAGTATGCTTTTCTATGCAGTGCCAGACATGTGGTGTATATAGAAATGTGAGTGGCCTACACAAACCAGCGGAAGGGTAATGTACCAGTCAGTGAAAGGAAATACATAATCAGCCTTCCTCCTGCAAATTTTTCCCCTTTGATTTGCCCTGTGGGTGCCAGCCATCGTCATTCACGCAACAGTTCCCAACTTTGCTGATTGGCGGTTATTAAATTAGGGCAATTACTCTGTGGCCTCAAGGTTCTTCACACTTAACTCCTCCCAGAGGCTAACAGATTGATGCTAGGCTGATAGAGGGCCCTTGTCAGAATAAAACTGCTCCACCTCACGGTCAGCTGAGGAAGCATCTCTGAGAAGACAGTACAGTCCTATTGTGCGTTGGTCTCCTGCGAGTAGACTTGCATCTCTGGAAGTAACTGAATTTGTGAAACCAGAGTTCTCGTGTGGTGCTCACATGTGCAACAGCTGTCTTTAGACCCCATCGCTAGTTATTTTGCTCCCATCCAGAAGAGGACAGCTCCCGACACAGCCCTGCGTTTGAGTATGTATTTATGCTGGGTGTGCATTGCCCTCTGGCGGCATGATCTGACGAGAGCTCTGGGAAGAAGTGTGCCACAGCGAGCCTGCTGCTGGTCATTGCTCCTTGTCTGTGGGAGCAGCATATACTGCATTGCACGTAGCGTTATGTTAAAAGTTGAAGTGAGGCCAGTGACTTAAGGAAACACACATAAACCAATATTAACATTGTAAACGTCCTTCATTGTGGACCAGGATTGAAGTCTCTGTGCATAGAAAGCCCGTGTGAAGCATTTCGCATCAGTAATGGTGATAGGAAGCTTAGCGATACTACATCATAGAAAAAAAAAAAAAGATAAAATTAAGACCTAGCATAATCTTCCGGTGTGTGTGTGTGTGTGCCCTGTGTGTCCCTGTGTGACTACTGCATTAGAATAGCAAAAGATGGGATGGTCCATCATTTTCCATAGGTGGGAGCTTTTATTTAGCAATACATGCAGTGCTAGTGCATTGCAAATTCACAAAGTCCTGGATCAGCGATGAGACTCTGTTTCTTGCTGGGGTTACAGTCACTTAGTGGCAGCTCAAGGGAAAACGTGTGGGTGCAAAGGTAGATGCATCCTCCTTTTGCAAGGGTATTCTTTGGGGGGAGGGGGGGTGTTCTGTTTTTGTAAGAATTATGAGTTGTGAGTATTCTGGTGTGGGTCGCTCAGCGATGTCACCTGGTGTTTGTTTGCATGTGCTAACTGAAACTGGCAGCCAGAGAAAGGGCAGGTATGTGAGCAAGATAAGTGTCTGAATTTATGTTCACAAATACATATGTAGCCTGTGGCAAAATCAGTCCCTGATGTTCAATAATAAAGCAGATTCCAGAAGTTAGGGTGTGCATAGGATTCTGCTTCCTTCTCAGCACAGTGCTCTTTATTTTTGATGGTGTCCATCACCATAGTAACTCACCAGAGCATACATGTCTGACTTAGGCTAAGGAGGGAGTAGCCAGCCCCATCAATGCGCAGCCTTCAAGTGCCAGTGACTGAGGCGCTGTACAAGCTATACCCTGATGCTGTGTTGTTTGTGTTGCACCAGTAATGAGCGTGTCCCAAGAGTGTCTTTAAAAGACTTCAGATTTACTCATTTCCTTCCCCCATGCCTCAGACACCTCATCTTCAGAGTCCTGCAACCTGAGGTCGTTTCTAAGTGATGTCATTTTAATGTGGTGTGTTAGGCATGCCTTTCTGTGAAGTTCAGTTGCACTAAGTCCTGTGTGTTACGCTGCCACAAAGCCTGAAAACTGAACAGCTGGACATGCTGAAGACACTGTAGTTTTGAAAAAGGAAGAGGAGGACTCTGCTTAGGTAGCAGGACTGGAAAAAACAAGTGGAGCGTTTTAAAGAGCTAACGTTAGAGAAGGGACCTTCTTCCTCTTCTCCCTTTTCCAAGGCAGCTGACCACTGTGTGGCTTTCAACAGGAGTGAGCAAGGCTGCTCTATGGAGAGAGTCAGTGTCACTCAACTAGCACTACGAAACAGGCAAGTGGATAAAGCAGTTTCTGAAAGCCCCAAATGGCTCAGGAGGTGACTCACACTGGAGCAGATTGTTTCCTAAATTCCAGATGAAATCACTTTGCATATTCCCTGACTAAGGCAAGAGAGTGCTTACAAGAACAAGCTCTGCCCAGTACCTTCAGCACAGACCAAGATAACACCTCTTGGCCACGTTGCTGCTGACAGCAGGGGAGATGCCGGTGAGCTATGCTAAAAGTCTTGGCTGCTGCTTTTTACCCATTTGGTCTTTTTCACCGAGGCCAAAAGTAGCTTTTTCAGTGCTGGCAAGAAGATAATGGAGTGATTCTTTGGTTCTCCACCTGACTGCAAAGATTTCAATAAGAAAGGCTTTCATCCCTGTCTGATGGGTGTCAGGAGGCTGTAGCCCCATGTTTTCTGTATTTACAGAGCTGATCCCAGTGCCCCTACCAAAGTACCATTGGAAACTGATTTGGAACAGTGTTACGGGGAAGAAATTGGAGTTGCCAGCTTGCATATCATCTAGCTAATAATCTGCCATACAATTCATCACTGCCTGCTTGTTTCAGCCACACACCCTGGAGAAAGTATCAGGGTAATGAAACATGAGAAACCAATTTAGGAAAGGGGTAGATAGGAGGTGATAAACATGAGCTAAGAAAATTTGGCCCGTGAACATTGGAGAGGGAACTGAATGTGGGCTTGTACATTGAATCCTGGAGAAAATAGCAGTCGTCATCATCAGATTCAGCTATGAACAGTGAAGGTCACATTAAGCTGTGTTGGCAGGTATTTGACTGTATAGGCACTGTGCTTGGCTGTATCTGAAGGTGCTTTCCCAGTAGGCTTTTATGGAAGCTGTAGACTTTGCTGCATCTTAAAAGCTTAACCTACGTCAAGCTGTTAGTATCACTGCAAATTTTGGCTTTGCATCTCTAAAACTTCTGTAATCGCCAGGGAACAGGGACCAAGACCCTCCAACTGGTGTTCACCGTGCTTTGGCATGTGCAGGTCTATGGGACTTACCCTTTTGTTTTCAGAACAGATTGTGTGTCAGTGGACATCTGATCTAGATCCAGTCTCGTGCAGAAACGTGGGGAGAAGGTTCCTCGTTAGCTTGCTGTTACAAGTCCTTCAGAGAGTTGAGGCCATGCCTGTAAAGGAATCCTGCTGCTACAGACTGTCTCTTCTTTTTTCCTTCCTAGATTGAGGAGGAGATGCTGGCATTGCAGAACGAGCGTACCGAACGGATACGAAGCCTGCTGGAGCGTCAAGCTCGCGAGATTGAAGCCTTTGACTCAGAAAGCATGAGGCTAGGTTTTAGTAATATGGTTCTTTCTAATCTCTCCCCCGAGGCGTTCAGCCACAGCTACCCGGGAGCTTCTGGCTGGTCCCACAATCCTACTGGGGGTGCAGGACCTCACTGGGGTCATCCCATGGGTGGCCCACCACAAGCTTGGGGCCATCCAATGCAAGGTGGACCCCAGCCATGGGGTCACCCCTCGGGGCCCATGCAGGGGGTACCTCGAAGTAGTGCTATAGGGGTCCGCAACAGCCCCCAGGCTCTGAGGCGGACAGCTTCTGGGGGACGGACGGAACAGGGCATGAGCAGGAGCACAAGTGTTACTTCACAAATATCCAATGGTTCACACATGTCTTATACATAACTTAAACAATAACTGAGGGTGGCAATTCCACTGGAGCTGTCTGCCAACAGAAACTGCCTACAGACACCAGCCCAGCAGCCTCCTCAGTGCGGTGCTGACGTGTGGAAGCTGGGTGCACATGGAATATTGTATTCATTTTGTAAAGCATTACGTTTTGTGTTTACTAACTGGGATGTCATAGTATTTGGCTGCAGGGTTTGTGGGGGGGTGGTTTTTTGGTTTTTTTTGTTGTTGTTTTTTACTTTTCGGAGGGGTCTTGGGAGGGCGTCTGAGAAATATATGCAATTAGGCAGAAGAGTTGGCTGGTGGTCGTCACACTGACAGGACAGAAGGGCCTCAGACTGCCCTCGTCACACCATCCGTAGGAAGTCTGAGGGAGAATGGAGACCTCCTCCCATGTCCATAAATTTCGAACTGCCACCCTGCAAAAACCAGGCAAGCTGCCTTTAAACCAACATCCAGGGGAGGAACAGCTGGATCTTCTGTTCCATTTTTATTTGTCATTAAATTGGATACATTTCTAGGGTATTGCCTCTGCCAAGAGGCATTTTCAAAGACTTGTAGGTGAGGAAGAAGGGTAAGAAGAGAGGCCAAGAGACACCAGGGCTCAGCAGGGCCCTTCTACCCAAGTGCCCGCTCCATGTTGTGTAAGAAGTGACGTTCTCTCAGAAGGCACTGGTCAGCTTCCCGAGAAGTGTGTAGGTAAACCTGTCTGGAGGGAACAGGCTAGAAATGTTCAAAATTGTATTCCTGCTTTGGCACTCCCTGACTGTGCTGCTGGTAGCTCAGACGAGGTTGGGCAGAGGAGCGTAATGCACTTGTACAGCTAATACTGTGACATCTCATTTTAGCTAAGCATCAGAATAATTATTGGAGCTCAGCTTAGTCCTTTTTGCTCCATTCAGAAATGTTTAGACTTTCAGCCAATCAGTCTCAAACGCCAGAGGTATTTTGAAGGATGCCATAGTCACAAAATGCCATTGATTGGGTTTTTCATTATTACACTACATCCACCAATTTATTACCTTTTTGGCTTGTTGCAATTTCCTGTTTACATGTAGAGTGTAGCCAACTGTTTAAATGTTTAGTTGCCACAGTGTACCAGGAGGAGCTGAGCCTCCAGCTGATGACTAACCCATATCACCACTGTAGATTTTGCTGCATGTGAGGCTCCTTTTTATTATTTTCGTTGCTGCAATACTTCACAACTTTTACAGTCCCTTGAGATGCTGTGATATTTTGGCAGCATATCTCACCATGCGAGAAGGCACTACTTCCAGAAGCTCGTTGGAGCTGCTGTACTACTGAAAGGAAGCAAAGGAGGTTGTGAAATCCATACAGTGATAAAGGGGTCAGGGAGTCTAATTAACCGAATGACTTTGTGGCATTGTGTCATCCCTTAGTGCTGGGAACTGGAGATGCCCCCATGCTCTTGTGCCAGTGCCAGGGTGGTCTGG